CTTTCGATGGTTAAAGCGGTTCTCATAGTGAGCATTTATCTCTTGAGAGATATCACCAAAACAATTGCAATTGTTACCAATATTTTCGCAAAAATTGTTAATCACATTTGAAACTGCGGCATCGTCACCTAGCCAGTGGAGAGTGATTCACTTTCCGACTAGCAAACCCACGTCTTCTGCACTGTCGATAAGATGGTCCATAAACTTAATGTAACCGCATACATAAGCTTCAACCGGGTAGCAGCACTGCTCCAAGGCCATGATATTTCGTACAAGACGTTCGAAGCTGTGATCAACTTCCAACAGTGGTATTTTCAACACTCCTTTCTCAAATTTTATGTTGACCAAGCATTTGTCTTGGGTGACCAGAAGAAACTTCACTCCTGCGTTGCGGAGCATGACCGCACTATATTTTAGCTTGGTAGGATAAACACTATAACGTCGCTGAATGGCTCCATTCAACATCAAATTCCTTAGTAAATCAGTGAAATGCCTGCTTCCCTTTACACTCAGACTGGTTTCTTCCCCTTGTGAAAACTTGTGCTTTCCAAAATGAGACTTTGCAAGATCAAGAAAAGGAGTGACTGTACCATCCTGGCTAGGGGGATTGACCTGGTCATATATTTCCTGAATAATGAAGAATGGTAGTTGGTTTTCAAGTAGCATCAAGTCTTCTCGGATGTCAAATGTCATCCTGGGCTCAAAATTCTTAGGATCGTTGATATCATGATCCTTTGACTCCAACAAAAACTGAATGATGAAGACAGCATCCAGCAGGATCATCTTTACGAAATCACTGCTCTTGATTAATTTGAATTTCTCTGAATAACAGTGTCGGAGACGCTCTTCTTGGTTCTCAATGCTGATCAAAATATCAATAATTTTCTTCTTATCCATCCCATCCCGTTCAGTAAGCTTTTTGAAATATTTCAGTTTCTCCTTTTCCATGGCCTCTAGTCTTATATTTTGGCTCTCAAGAGGACCTATTGAAATCAGTAGTGGAGAGTAGGCTTTCCAATTTACGTTTCGAAGCGGTTTGGGCACCCTGTAGATGCAGCACTCGGAACCGTTCCGTTTAAAGGACATCTGTTTCACCTCAGAATCCAGCTTTGCCAAAATATCTTTAGCTTTCTCTCTCTCTCTCTTTTGGTAATAATCCGGATTTGAAGCACTTCCCACATAAATATCTTTTCCCTTGTTTGGAGTACTTGCCTTATCCTCTTCCATGTTTGAAGCACTTGCAATCAATTTATCCTTTTTCCAGTCTGCAGGTTGGCTGAAACAAACCAAGAATAAATGGATCGAAGGTATACACAGTTTCGTTTTGATTATCACAAATTTTCAAAACTTTTTCACTACAACACATATTCTCCTTCTCTACCCCCTCTCACTTTAAATCATCCTTTTCTCTCTATTTCTCACTTGTTATAACATTAAATAGCCTAAATAATTAGCTAGATTTTGTTCATGTATATAATCAAATTTCATAAATAAAATTGATTCATACTAGTAATTAATTAACCTCAGGTGTTTGAAAAGAGATAATAATTATTTTTCAAAGTGTTTTTTGTTTTGAAATGACTTTAAATAATTAAAAAAATTTAGAATTTATTTTTGATATCATGGATCACATCAAAACAATCTAAAAAAATAAAAACATATAATTTAGGATTGTTTTAGAATTTGAATAAAGATTTTTTGAAATTCAAATCTTCTATTTAAGTTTGAAACAATCTAAATAATGATTTTTTTTTACTTTCAAAAACTCATGTTGATAATAAAAAAAAATTCAATAACAAAAAAGAAATGAATGAACAAGGAATGATACTTTAATAATATTTTTTATTAAAGGAATATGTTTTTTTCTTATTCATTTAAATCATTGAATTTTTTATGAATATTTATTTTAATTAACTTATGTTTTGATTTATAAAAGAGCGATACTAATAAAAATGACATTTTTTTCTCAAAAAATGCATGAATTGAAAGAGAAATTCTCACCAGAGAATAGATGTTTTCTTCAAAGAACTTAAATCATTTGATTTTATTAGAACATTTGTTTTAATTACCATAGAATTCAATAAAATAATTTCAAAAAGGCAGCAACACGTAGGCAAATTAACTAGTACTAATCTCAAGTTGAACCTCCGATTCATTAACAAGTTCAGTGACATTAACATCAAAATTTAAAACATGACATTTATAGAAAAATGCATCCTAGAAAATGTTTAGCTGGTTTCCCTCGAATTCTGCAAGATAACCTATGTATTTCTGTTTAGTTTGATCCATGTGGGATCATTAAGCCCATATTAAGCCTAATTTGTTAGGAGTTTTTAATATTTAATGTGTTTTATATGGAGAACAAACATAGAAAAAAAAAAGCTTCCCAAAAATAGTATTTGGGTGTTCTATCTATCTAGCTTTGATCAAATACTACGACATATGTTGTATATGGATCAATTTAGCGGTGAATTTATAGATATAATTACGACATCAGAAGGATCTATAATCCAAAATAGTAAAGATAAATTTAGAACAACCTAACTAGTGTTCTATGCGTAATTACAACGCATCGGGCTTATTTGGGTATTCTGAATTAGTTTCTGATTTCTCCTTACAAAGTTGGAACTCTTTTAATAGATAAACTAGAACACGAATCTCTATAAAAAAACTTGAACATTATATGCTTGGAAAACTGTAAATAATTATAAAATGTTTTTAATAAAGCATTCGATGTCTTTGAGATGCCAAGATGAAACTTAATAAACAAATCACTTAAAATACATTACTACTAGTTTTTTTAAATTAAAAAAAAGTTATTTTTTTCTATTTGTTTTTTGTTTTATTTCTTTTGTAATACTTCTATGCTCATTTTTATTAGATATGTAGCTAGTTCTCCCAAATAAATTAGTATGGATAGTTAAAGTGACTGCAATGGGTATTGATACCCATAATCACTTGTTTTATATATGCTGGCAAACTTAAACATAATTAAGCAAACCAACTTTTTTAAAAATAAAAATGAATGGAACTACATACACCGAACCACCTATTGTCTGCAGAGCTTAAACCAAATCCAAAACATAACATTTCAAAAAACTAAACATTTAAAAGAACAGAACAAGTTAGTGCTGACCTGAGGACGGAGATCAGAGGACTGTGCCTGTATATAATATAGGGTCCCAAGCAGCGAGCTCTATTCCTATCTATATATATATATATATATTGCAGCACCTCTCTCTCTCTCTCTCTCTCTCTCTAAGTCTCTTGCCTTGTCTACCCAAATGCATTTGACAATGGCTATAATTAAGGGACTTAATTCTATACGCTATCTAGATTCTAGCTTGAAATTCTATACGCAATCTAGATTCTAGCTTGACAAGGGCGGATCTAGGAAAGTCCCTTCACTTTAAAATTATTTCTAGGAGATCAAGTATATTTGTACATAATAATCCCTGTAAAAATATTAAATCTTCATTTTAGCCCTTTAATATTGAATCCTGGATCCATCTTGGGAGGGAAAGGGAAGAATGGTGCATTTCTTCGCTGTCGTTTATTCCTTTACAGGATAACGTTCGTTTATCTTATAATTATACTCCCCCCTCGTGCATTAAACAGTTTTCTCTAAACGATAAGACTATTTTTTTTAAAAAAAAAGAAGCAATTGTTTATATAAATAGCCTATTGATAAATTGATTTTGAATATCTAGAGCTTCTTATCAATTCACTTAAAAAAACTGGTTTTTCCTATTAGAAAAGAAAAGAAAAGGAGCTGCATGCACCCTGCACCCTTACAGGGGAAAGGTACACGTTACAGATAGCATTCAATCTTGTATGATGCCCCAATTTATCAAAACAACAAATCATGTACAATTTGTTACTCAATTCTGGTGCATAGCATTCCCAAATTAACTCAGTCCAATGTTAAAATTAATTAAAGCAAGAAAAAAAGCCATGATCTAGAAGGAACATATGTTAAACCATGCATGAAATCCTCCTAATCAATTAATAAGTTTAACTACGTTATCCAATTTCTTTTTATGGATGATGCGGTTCAATCTACCAAATTTCATCACACAATGGCTATTAATTTATTTATCACAACAAATTAGTGCCACAAGGTTGTGTGTAGTTTGAAGTTAAAAACATCGATTACGTGGTAAGTAATTAAATATTAAGTGTTGAAATATTAAAGGTGCAATCAAATAGTTGAGCGAAGTGTTAATAATGATTGGTTTAAGTGTGTAGAATTTGGGTAATGAAACGATAAATCTTAAATTGATATAATTGAAAAGGAAATGCATGATCTATGTTGATGAATCAAGCTAAACTAGAAAAAATTGAGCTAAACTAAAAATAATTTGTGTAATCCTATTTCATTTTTTTTAAAACTGATTTGATTATATTTTTTTAATAAAAATCAAATTAAACTGAAATGTAATATTCCGACAATATTAGATGTAATAAAAAGAGAGGAAATTAATAAATAATGGTTTGAAAGGAAAGACAAACTTATGTTGTTGGCTTTTTATAAAGTATAATGTTGGTGGGCCTGTTCTGGTGTTGGAAAAAACAGTAAGTTTTTCGAGAGTTACACCATTTACAATCTGGAGTTTAAGTTTTTCCTTTCATTTTACTACTGATAACCTCTGGATCCAACATATAACTCAACTTTCATCTCCCTCTTCACCTATCGAGCTCTTTCACTATAACACATTTTCTCCTTCCCTACTTGTCTTCTTCTGACTCGTCAACAATCTTCCTACATATGCAATTGCTTAAATTGTATTTAAAAACCAGACCGGACCTAGTTTAGTTCTTTAAAAAGAAATGAAAAACAAAAATGGAACTACACACACCATGCCCCTTTATAGGGGAAAAGTAAACTTTATGGATAGAATGCTTAAACATATATTAAACCTTGTAATGTCTGAAGAGCTTAAACCAAATCCAAAACATCGTCCGTAAATTTTCAAAGAACAAAACCAGATGGTGCTGACCTGAGGGAGATCAGTGGACACTCTCTGTATAGATATCGTCCCAAGCAGCGAGCCTCTTTATTAAGAATAGCATGTGGAAAAAGAAAGTATATGACAGGCAAGAAGGGCAACCATTATCTTGTTGTGCACTTTATCCCTATCTTATTGTGTATGTCTCCCATCAATGTTGGGTCTTAGCATGACACTAGCATAATTCACTTCTATGTTCTTTTCTTTTCTTTTCTTTTCTTTTCTTTGCTTTTCATTCTGAATGTATATGACCACTTTTTTCTTTTTCTTTTTTAAGAACGTGTGAGCTTGATAAGAAGAATCAAGACAACCTTACCTTATCAACTCTCATGATCTGCTTTTCACAAAAAAGTAAAAATAAAAATAAAATATCACATCACATATGATATAGTATTTTTATGGCGTTGAGAAAAAGAAATCTGAGACCTACAATATGCATTCTGTAAGTTAGACAGATACATTAAAAATCAATTTTATAGTAATATTTTCTAAAAGATCAAACAGCACTCACACTCTCTACATGCGGGATTAAGAGTTTTTTTCTAACAAAAAAAAAAACTTTTTAAGTGTTGTCAATGTGTGTGTTCTCTATATTAAAAAAAATTGAATTGGAAATCAAGTTTATGTTTGTATTTAATAAAATAAATTAAGAATTATATATATTAATAAATATTAAATAAATTATTTATGATAACTAAAAATTGAATCAATAAATTAAGAGATAAATATGTATTAAGATATTTAATTTCATGTTGTGAGTAGCTATTCAAAATTATTTTATTTAATTATATGATAATAAAATTATTTTTTAAAAGAGAAATTATATGAAACAAAATATTTTTTTGAATAATTCCATCTATTTTTTATTAATATAATTTTTTTTCAACAATTTTTTTTATGGTTCTTAATTCGATAGAACCAAAATTAATTAGAATAAAGATAAAAAAATCTGGATGACTTAAAATAAAATAAAAAAATCTCTTTAATTATAATTTTTTATTTTATTAATGTGATTGTTTTTTTAGAATTTTTCTTTTCAAAATATTTTTTTTATAGACAAGAACTTATAAGAATCATACAAGTATGCATGAATAAAATAAAGTTTATTTTAATAATGTTAATGTGAATATATTAAAAAAATAAGAACGATACACCAATCGCCATTAAAAAAAATTGAGTTACTCATTATTTTATTTTTAAATTCTTGATCTGTCAAGTTATATAGACTAATGTCAACGCTTTCCTATTTTCAATCATTTTTCAATGTAATTGAAATTGGATTTTTTTTCTTAACGGTTTGGTAGGATGGTTTTCGAGCTAAGGTACAAGTGAAATTGTTTTGCAATCCAACTTGCAATAACTGAATATTAAATTTGTTAATAATTATAGTTAAAATAAAAATCAGGATTTAAATCTACTAAAAATATATAAAAATTAGAAATCAAAGCTATATAAAAAAAGTTTAACATAAAAAAATTATTATTATCATCCTATTTTATTTATTTATTTAATATTAAATAATTATTTTTAAAAAAAGTTAGTATTCCAGCTATATGCCAAGAATATCCTTTTTTTTCCTTTTCTTCTTTTTAATCTTTCTCTTTGGATTTTATCTATTTTTTTTAATGAATCCTAACTTTTGAATTCATGTATTTGATAGGATTAAAGGATTTTGCATATCTCAAGAAACTTCTGCATATCTCAAGAAACTTCGTAGCCTTACCTTGGGGATTTAAGGGAATCTTTTCAAGTAGACCCTTTGAGGTTTGGAGATCAAGCTAATCTTTTCAATTGAATAAATATTTAGATTAATCAATAGCATCTTTTACAACACTTTCCTTTGTTTGAAGCACTTGAGTTGTTAATATCCTTATCAATGTCTGAATCACTTCCTCCATCAATAACTTCTCCCTTGTTTGGAGCACTTGACTCATCGTCTTCCATGTTTGGTGCCCTTGCCTGTTCAACATCGTTTTTCATGTTTGAAGCCCTTGCAGTAAATTTATCCTTTTCCAGTCTGCAGGTTCGGTGCAACAAACCTAGAATCAATGGAAGGTATATAGTTCAATTTAGAGTTTTTATTTTTTTTTTGAGATAAATTTTTACCTAACTAATATAGTGATTTCTATGTTATTTCACAAAATCAAAGCACATTTTTCCATACTACTTCATGACTATATTTGTCCATGTAATTTTTCAGAGCAGTGCTATAAGAAAATCATACGAAATTTCAGATGAACTGTTGTAATTACTCTTGATCAATCATCTAATATTTCTGGAACGTATGTACACTCCATCGATTCAGTCATTATCACTTAAACGTCAATTTATGTGAAAATTTGATATAATTTATTTATATGCATGGTGTTTAATATTTAGATTTTTCAAATTTGAAGCACTTAAGTTATTCAATTTCTTTAGATAGTTGATGCATTATAAAAATACTATTTTTAAAGAATCATCTCAACTCAATAATTTAAGATGTTAGATAAGATTCTAAGATATAATTTATATTATTTTTTAACACACCCTTTTAAATGAAAGTTCTTTGAGCTTGAAATTTATATAGGTAATTTATATAGGTGTTTAATTTTATCAAATAAATAGAAATGATGAGATTTGAACTCATTACTATTTTGTCATCAAGATTCTGATACTATATCAAAAAGATAATAACAATTAAAAATTTTATACAAAAATAAACAATTAATAGAACTGGTGAGATTTGAATTTATGATCATTTTAATTTAAAAGTTTAAATTAACAAAGCTAAATATATAAAATAAATTTAAATTGCTTATTAATTACACACCTCCTGAAATTTGAGATAATAACAAATTATCATTTGAATCTAAAATTTTTATATTAATTAACTCTATAGTACGCCCATTCATGCACGCCCTCAACGGAGTTTTTCAATTAAAGATTTGGACTTGCAAGAAGTCAAAGTGATTTTACATTGTATTTCAGAGATTCTAGATAGTGATTTCATGTTGAATGGATTTAATAAGATTTTGGGAAAATGATGCGAATAGCCAAGGTTTATAAAGTGCCTTCCACCAGGAATCTATAAACTACGTATTTTTTCACAGTTTGGCAGGGGTTTAAAGCATAGCAATTAGCATTACATTATTTGTGGTCGGACCATTAGTTCTTGGAGGTTTGTATTCCCATGAGTTTTGCTAGTAATTTTAAGATTTTTAGTTAAATTGTTATATATAATATTAAATAACCTAAAGAATTAAGAACATGAGTCGATTTTGAGCTGCACCGCTTGTCACTTGCTGTGAAAATTATGTGGAGTTTGGGAAGTCCAGTTTTAGGGGAGATTCAGACCGTACAAGCACCAATGGTTTTTTGCTCATGTTTCTCCACAGATGGCGAGCATGGTATAGCTAAATTGTGGTAATCTTCAAAGTATTTTTTATTTAAAAATATATTAAAATTATTTTTTTATTTTTAAAATTTATTTTTTATATCAAGATAATATAAAAACATCAAAAAATAATTTTAAACAAAATAAAATAAAATTTAAAAATACACAATTCAAACCGCATTCCAATCAGGAATAAGTCTCTTGTCTACCCAAATGCATATGAAAATGGCTATAAATATATAAATGTGAACTTAGAAATGATATCTAAAAGGTCAAGTATATTTGTATATAATAATCCCTGTAAAATTATTAAATCTTCATTTTAACCCTTTAATGTTGAATCCTGGATCCATCTTTTTTTCTATCTGCAGATAGTGTATATATATATATATATATAAACCCACCGATCAACCAACTGAGCATGTGAAGTTGAAAATTTCAAATGCATGAAGGAAGACCCCATAATGAAAACGATGTTAGTTTATCTTATAATAATATTTGGATGCAGCCTTAGCTGGTTCACACTAACCTGCAGACAAAGTTTCAATATATATTTAATATTTTTTAATTACTTAAATATTTTTATATATTTAATATTTTTTCATTTGTCACTTTTAATTAGAACAATATATATTCAAAATCAAAATATAATTTTTTTAATATAAAATAATTTAATAATTTCAAGTTAAACCTTCTATTTAATAACAAATTTAATGACATTAACTTTACAATTTAAAACATCACATTTATAGAAAAATACATGCTAAAAAATGTTTAGTTGGTTTCCTCGTATTTAAAAAATAACCTATTTATATTTAGTTTGATCCATGTGGGATCATTAAGCCCATATGAAGAGAAGGGTTTAGCCTAATTTCATAGGAGTTTTTAATATTTAATTTGTTATATATGGAGAACAAATATAGAGAAAAAAATTAGCTTTCCAAAAATAGTATTTGGGTGATCTATCTAGTTTTGATCAAATGCTACTACATGTGTTGTATATGTTGGATATGAATTAATTTAGGTGAGAGTTTATAAATATAATTATGGATTAATTTAGCTGAAATTTTATAGATACAATTACGACATAACAAGGATCTATAATCTAAAATAGTAAAGATTAAATTTAGAATAGTCTAATTAGTGTTTTGTGTGCTATTACAACATCAGGTTTTCTGGGTAGTCTGAGTTAGATTATGATTTCTCCTAACGAAGATGAAATTCTTTTAGTAGATAAACTAGAACACATTCCTATATAATAAGCTTGAACATTATATGCTTACAAAATTGCAAATAATAAAATGTTTTTAATAAAGCATTTGATGACTTTGATATGCCAAGATGAAACTTAATCAACAAATCACTTAAACACGTTACTCCTAGTTTTTTTTTTTTGAAAAAGAAGAAATTATTGTTCATTGTGTGGGTACAATCTGAATTTTTTTTCTGATTTTTTATTGTTTTATTTCTTTTGTAATACTGAAGGTCATTTTTGTTAGATATGTAGCTAGTTCTCCTAAATAAATTAGCATGGGTAATTAAAGTGACTGCTATGGGTATTGATACCGATAATCACTTGTTGATCACCGCTAATCGAGTCTTGCTCTCTAGCTATCCTAATACCCATAGTAATCTAAAGTCGAACCTCTAATCATTTCACAGCAGGTTCAATGAAATTAACAACAAAATTTATTACATCGCGTATAAATGTTTTATATATGCTGGAAAACTAAAACATAATTAAGCAAACCAACTTTAAAATAAATAAATGAATAAATATGGAACTACATACACCGAACTACCTACTGTCTGCAGAGCTTAAACCAAATTCAAAACATTAAATTTCGAAAAACTAAACATTTCAATGAGCAGAACAAGTTAGTGCTGACCTGAGGACGGAGATCAGAGGACTGTGTCTGTAAATAGGGTCCCAAGCAGCGAGCCTCTTCCTATAT